GGAATGTCAGAACAGAGGTGCTGTGCCTTCCTGCCAGATTTCTTGGACTTTATGGTTAGGGTTGCCAGATACAGCAAATAAAAATACAGGACACATAGTTAAATTTGAATTTGCAATAAATAATGAATAATACATTAGTATAAATTTTTAGTCTTATGTAGTATTTGGGGCATATTTATATAAAAAACTATTCATTGCTTGTCTGAAGTTCACACATAAGTGGTCAGTCTGTATTTTCTCTGGCAACTGTAACTCCACTTTTTGTGCGTATGCTTCCTTCTTCTGTCTGACAGAAAGCTACTTGTGAATGGATTTCTCTTATTATGACAGGGACTGGGATAGCATTCTACATGACCTCTTAGTCTAAAGCTCACCACCAATTGTATAGAGTCCTTGTGTATCTATCTTAGCTGAAAATTGAAGAGAGAAAAATAAGATAGATTGTTGGCCAGCCAGTGAGTTGACTGGCTAGGGTCAGATTTCCTGACAGAACGAACTGTGGTAGGGAGGGAGTGGGGGTCAATGACACAAATGATACAAACATGAACACCTTTCTAAGCTCTGTCACCCTTCCCTCGCCTGCACCCCTCAAACTTAATGGCATTTTCAATGTAATTCATTGTCTATGCGATGCTTTTGCTTCTCTAGAAAGCCTTGCTTGGGTATCTTCACTACATGTGATTTTACTCTTCCAGCAATTAAGATAAATTCAGATACCTTGTATTTGTATAGTATTTTACTGTTAACAGCATTCTTTTAAAAATCTTACATCATTTACATACCACTTCGTATTTCACTAGTTTTCGGTAAGTGCTTTGTTTGTCCCAAGTGCCCCTCTTGAAATGCCCACCATATTTTGTCACTTCCCTGAATCTGTACACTTGTAAGGGGGTTACTAGCCACCCTACAGCCCTGTCTTTTTATATTTAATTGAAGTCTTTTAAATATATGATACATTTTTCCTAGCTTCCAAAAATGTTTTAAAATACTTTCTAGGTTTATCATGAGCTCTTTCCTCTGTTGTTTTTCCCAGAATCTGCAATTCATTATACTTTTTCCCTAAAACTAATAATTATGTCTTGTGTTTTGAAACACTTCCTCTCTCTCACCATTACTTGGTGTGACAACTTCCTTGGCTTATTAAAACATGAGTAATTTGGCTGAGGGGCTCTCTCATGATTTCCAAGGGAAAATGTCCCCCATAAAATTCCTGGGTTGGGTAAATATTTGGCCTGGGAACTGGAAGGATTGCTGTTCAAATCCTCACTGGGTTTCTATGAGAATTAAATACAATATTGCACATAAAGCACTTACTACCTGTGGAGGAGTGAGCAGGTGACCCTGGGTGAATGCTAATACCTGGGCACCTCAGAGTCCTTTCAACTGCCTTTTTAGTGCTGATGATATGTTCACAGTTGTAGGATGTGGTGCAGAACATGTCACAAATTGTAAAGCACAGTGTGTCAGTATTCTATAGATGGCAAGAATGTTTCTATAGATATCATGTCTTCACACTCCTAATAGTATTAAGGGAAGAATGGTATATTGTTTATTATTCAGATTTAGGGGAAATGCAGGCTAACCTACTTTCAGATAACCACACAATTGCAACCATAGATCCAGTGATATATTTTAAGTCACTTAACATATGAATTGAATAGACATTTCCCCTTGTCCCATACTGTTACCAATATATCAGAAATATTGAAGCTGTATTCTTCCTTCTCTTTAAACAGGTGCATTAATTCTGCCTTTAAATTCACTAGCTTATAATTCAGTCTGGCCTTTTCTTTCCTAATCTGTCAGCCCAGTTTCCATCATCACTGAACTTGAATCATGGGTTTGGACTTGTGTGATGCAGCTAAAGAAGAATGTATGTAAAGGCTGATGATTCCCAAATTTGTATTGTCAGTTAGACTTCTCTCCCAAACTCTAGGCTTGTATATCAAATTGTTGACTTTATATCTGCACTTGCACGTATGTTAGACAGCTAAGCCCTCCTTCCCTGAGGTTCTCCCCGCAAACCTTCAGTACCACAGGCTTTCCTGTAGCAACTGATGGTAACCCCACCCTTCAGGTTCTGAGTCTGAAAAGCACTGCCTCCTCTCTTGCTCACACGCTATACCAATCCAATAACAAGTTCTTTCAGCTCTACCTTAAAGATATATCTAGAACCCTGCCACTTTTTATCACTTCTGTTCTACTGCCATGGCGCAGACCACCACCATCTCTTGTACATTACCACAGAAGCCTTCTAATAGGTCTCCCTGACTCTTCCATTCGTTCCCTGCAGTCTGTTCTTAATGAGGTAGCCACGATGAATATTTTTAAATGTAGGTCAGATTTTGTCATTCTTTGCTTCAAAATATTGCAAAAATCCCCACCACACTCAGATTAAAAACCAAGGTCTTTTCAATGGCCTACAAAGCCCTGTGTGATCTAGGCCTCTGGTAACTTCTCTGATCTTTTATCTACTATTTTTTCCCTCTGTTAGTCTGTTTTAATCATATTGGTCTCTTTGCTGTTCTTCAAATATGTCAAGCCTGCTGCCATCCCAAGGCCTTTGCTTGAGCTGTTTCCTCTGCCTAGAATGTTCTTCCCCCAGATAACTGTAGAGCCAAACCCCTCACGTTCAGGTCTCCTTAATGTCACCTTCTCCATGAGGCCTGCCCTAATCGCCCTGTGTAAAATTGCAACTCAGTCTCCCTTACTCTGCTCTCTTCTCTCTCTTTTTTCAGTAGCACTTATTATCCTCTAAGTGTTAACATAATATACATTGTCCTAATTTGTTGTGTTGTTTATTATGTCTCTCCCATGAAATCAAAGATTGTTATTTTTTTGTTGATGTGTTTCAAGCACCTCAGATATCCTAGCCAGTCACTGTCTCTTGAATGAGAAATTATTTCTCATTCTTGAATAAGAAAGTAAAGAGAGCCTGAGCTCCTCTAGCTCTCCACCTTGGTGGGAATATCAAATGTCCGTATCCGTTAAATCATATTTGTTGGGTAACCAGTGAGTTATTAGGTTCTAGGAATTGACTCATCTGAATTCAAAAGAAAGTTGTTTTTAAATTGAGATACCAATTTTTTAATTTTTACAGAGAACTCTATGCTACCAGGTCTTCTAGACTAGTTGGTGAGGTTATTTGTTTCTCCAGATGTCTGCTTGGGAAATCAAGTCTGTATCTGAAAATTGCTTTTGAAT